CCCCCCCCCCCCCGCCCCCACCCTTCCCCCCCCTCTTCCCCCTTGGGCGGAGGATATTGACTCGAGCTCATTTTCGAGCATGTTTACCACCATTCAATCTACAGACGGGCGCATCATTTGGGATGGCTTCTGGATGGGAGGACGCCGTTTGCAGAACAAACTGGAGCAGCTCAAATGGAAATGCCCTTGAGCGAAGAAAACTTCTGAATGCGAACTGGGGAATCTTTCGAGGAAAAATTTTTCAAGAAAAATTCGGTTGGATCCGGACTTCTCTCTCTCTCTCTCTCTCTCTCCCTCTCTCCCTCTTTCTCTCTTCTCACAACTTATTTTTGATGGGTACTTCTTCATCTTGCAACTAAATTACTATCCTGTTTTCCTCATGGATCGGGAATGACATTTTTTTTGGAGCGGAAGGAGTGGAACTGAAGTGGTTCGTAATTGAGTTGAAATTCCTCAATTTATTTCCACTCCACCTTTTCAGTGGGTCTCCTTTCCTGAAAGGAAAGAGACCACTTGTGGTCCCGCTCTATCCGTCTAATCCGTCTGTGTCACGCTATGGCTGTCCGACGATAACTAAGAACATATTAGCATGACCAATGCGAAAATTGGCAAGCAGGTTGATAATCGGTGCGCTTCTGAATTTCGAAAGATGAAACAAATTTGTCATCAGTATAGCAAATTTTTTATTTGAAATTTTGTCACCGAGGCATGAGTACCAGTTCGCCCTTCAGGATCTGGATCACAATGCGCATGCGCGTACGACCCAGGCCTTGGGCGCGGTGCCGTGTCATCAAGCGGAGCCGTCAGTTCCCCACCAACCGTCGTGGCGGACGGTTCCAAGCACGCACAACGCTCCATCCTCCAATCTTCATTTCACCACCGTGGGTAGATTTTCAAATGTAACTGAAAAATGATGTTTTTGATGGTTGGGGACGGGAAAGAGATAGCATATTATTCGATTTCGTTACAAAATGCGGGTCTCCTTAAATGAAAGGAGGCCCACTACTGGACTGGGCTCCACAACTGATCCATGAATGGGCTTCCCCAAAACAGGAAATTCGTCTTGGGTTCTGTCGCGCTCGAATGACAGGAAATGTCGAATTACTTAATTAATAGTTGTTCCTCTGTTCCAACATAATAATTCAATGTGAATATATTTTTCACACTGGCAATCGCTTCCCAGAAACGTACGTGTTCCTTTGCGCAAATTGCCGTTTCTAGTCCTTTGCGTTTCGCTTCGAGAATCGCGACGGGACGCAGCGAATTCGCTGAGGAAAAAGTGAAAATCCGGGGACCCAAAGAATTCATCAGCGAAAGCGCCAGGACCGATAACAACAGCGAACGGCCAACCTCATCATCTCACTGCGATGCTTTTCTTCTACTCGGATGACTCACTTCATCCACCCGAATGACTCACTTCATCCATTTGGATGAATCTCGCCGTCCAGATGGAAGTGAAACCTCGACCGAAAGGTCTCGCTTCTTTGCTCGGAATTTTGCTTCTGACGCAATAGGGTCTTTCTAACTCGCGATTCCTCTAATGCAGGTTGGATTTTGCAATTCAAATGGGATTGATTGCTTTTGTCCTTTTTCGCTTCTCTGAATTCTTTTTTCTGACATTCCTTTTCTTCTTGTTTTTCTTTTCTTTCTTTTCTTTGCTTTCTTCGATTTTTTAAAATTATATTTCTTGTTTTTCCCTTTTCTCTCCTTTTTTTCCCTTTTTTTTCGACTGTTCTACTGAATCACATGTTGTCCTGGCGGGAGTTCAACGGATAAATTTTATTCTCAGTTGTACAAACCGGCATCGAGCTTCTCGAGTAGAAACGAGACGCCCGACGCGAAAGAAATTTCGTTTGACATCGAGGAAAATCGACACCGAGAAAATTTCTGACATGCGAAACTCAGTACACGACGAAGCGATCGAAACACCCAAGGTCCAAGGTCACAAGGACCCCCGGTTGATCTTCAAGGTCACCCTGGGACCTTCTTGACCCCCGCATTCTGAAAGAGAAGGGAATCTTCATCTCATCATCTCCGTCATCGACGATCCCAAAGAGCGAGAGGAAATTGCAGCGTCAGCTATCCGGGAACAAATTCATTTTCCTCTTCACTTCGCACATTCGCTCTGACGCGCAAGAATATTAACGACTTCTGCAAGGCAATCATGCCTTCTTGAGCTCGCCCCAGCGTCTCCATGCCCAGAAACGGCGGCCAATGGACTCCATGACGTCATTTCTTCTCGTAACTGCCACCAAGTATTCAACATCTATTAATCTCGAGAATTTTTATGACAGTGTCGGCAAATAGTCGTCGCTGCTTCTCACGAAATTGACCGAAACCACCCGACAGGACGACATTCTCTTTCAAGTCGCATGTCGGCCGGCTACGTGTCCAGTTCCTAACCGGCGCTAAATAAATGTCGCAATTAACAAGCTGCCTAAAAGGCAAAATCTTAAGCAAAATCTTGATGAGTTTAATGAAAAAGCAACGGTACAAAAAGAGAAAAGTGGCGAGAGATAGAGGCACTTATTTATTACTTATTATTATCGATTTATTTCTTTATTCTTTTATTTATGATTAGGATTTTTGCTTATCTAATTTAATCAGGTCTCTGGAGCCTTTTAGCACTTTTTAAAACTTTCACGAATGTAGGAAATTTGAGAGTAGCCGTCCTGTCACGTCATGAAATACTCGAAGCTGGGCTGCGGTCCACCCGGATCGACCCGAAATGGCCATCGTTCATCCAGACTTCGCACTGAAGCAGTCGCGAGATCCCATCGATGATCGAAGCCGATGGTCGCAAGGATCTTGAATAGTCCCGGAACGCGGTCGCGAAAATGTCTCTGGCTCTTCCAGGCAAACCAGCTGGAGTCGGAGTGCAGGATGGCATCAGATAACGAAGAATACGTTTCCAAAAAATAAATAAATATAAATAAAAATTAAAAAACAATAAAATATCATCGTGCCAACAGAGCACGATGATATTTGTCCAGTGAGAGAAACGAAATTCCATGTAGAATCTCCATCGAGAGGAAAATCTTTTTCCACTTTGAGTCCTTGATCCATAGTTCATTCCATTGAGGGCCTCTTCTGTCTTTTCATGAAAATCAGAGTCCTCGGCTCACCTCCACTTCATCGTAATTAAACTCCTCGAATTTCTTCGCTCCTAGTGAATGGATTCATTCGATTCCTGCGTCATTTTTTCTCCCGAAATAGAATCCGGTAAATTCGCTTTCTCATCGGCACAAAAGTAAACACAAATCGCTTGGGAATGATTTTGCAATATCAATTTGCAGTCGCCTGCGAGTTTCCCCATTCGCTTTTCGCGCGAGATTCGAAGCTCGCGGACGCCCACCAGCGTCACATATTTTTTGACGGAATCGACGACATCGTCTTGTGCGAACAAAGAACGTGCTTTCCCGGACAGATGAAGACCATTTTCTGGACAAAGAAAAAGTCAATTATGGCTCAACGGACACAAATGAAGCAAGTAAAACTAATAAAAGACCTGGCGGAAACGGAAACTTTCCCCTCTGCAGTCCCCGAGTTCCCTTTCACCCCAATCGCTCCCCCCCTCCCCACCCCCCTTCGGCCCCCTCCCCCCTCCTTCGGCCCCCTCCCCCCCTTCGGCCCCTTCTCCGCACTCCCTTCTACCCCCCTTCGATCCTTTTCGCACCCCTTTGCCCTTCCCATGCCAGTCGAATGCAATCACGCATAAGGAAGTTTCGAACAGTATGAGCCGATTGCACCCTTCCCTTGAAAAGAGATAATGCCCTTCGAACACAAAGGCCAGAACAATGATGCAAGAAAACCTCCCTGTTGTTGAGCTGTTTTTAGGACTTTCCTCTCTGACTGACAAAGAAGCAATTTCTTAGCCTGTAATTTGCTTGAGTCTCCTCCCTTCCAGGAACCGAAATGTCTTTCCGGATTCAGAGGGAAGATTCAACTTTCAATTTCTCTCTTCCTTTCCTCTTCTCCGAATTTAATTTTTTTTTCACGATATCTAATGGAACATGAAACATGGATTCTGCGAATCTCGCTCTCGCTCTTGAGGAAATGCGTCGATCTCTTGCTTTTATAACGACCTTCAGCTGCAGATGTAGGTTTGAGTTTCCTTTCTAAACGTTCTGAAGCAGTGAGAAACTCCAGCCATCTCAGGGATAAGTTTTGCAATGGCCCTAGTTTCCGCTAAGATTCTTCTTAGATTCCAAGAGTCGGAGGGGAAGTGACGCAACATGCGAATTCGAGTGTCTTCAAACCGGGAGATCACGCCAATTGCAACAAATCGCCCCCATAGGGAATAGCCCTTATCCGCCTATTTTATTTTGTTAACATGAATATGAAATGGGCATTAGTAAAATTTATTTTGGGTTCCTTTTCCAATTTCTCTTTGTATTCGATTACGTCTTACTTTGGACGTTTAAAAATATGATTCCCTCAATTTACTCTTATTTCGACTGGTACACCTCGGAAATAAATATTTTACAAACATGAGACATCTGAACTCACCTGTTCAGGAATCTCTGTCAAGGGCCTCGATCCCCGCGTCAGTTACAGGCGCTGAGCCGGAAAGAAAGGGGAGGAAAATGAAACCACATGCCAGCCAATGAAATCAATAGGTGATCAGACGAGGATATAAATAAATGACAGACTCATGAGCCCTCATTAAGACTCATCCCGCTCAGGTCACGTGATCAATAAAAATGTCCTCCTCTGACCTCATTAATACCCGGAAATCGAACACCTCCCTTTTATGCTTTTCCCTTTATCGCCTTCTTCCGCTCCTTTGTAACACGAGGCAGTCCTTTGTCACTGGAATTACGCATTCTCCTCCGTATCGCACAAATTACGGGGCTTTGTCCCTGTCCCGGGTTCTTTATACCGTAGGCTATTCTCTCAGTGCAATAATTTGCTTCATCACTCGTCCTGATCCCAAGAGAAACTTGCACCCAGCTCCATTGGACCCGTCTGATCTGTTTGGACCCCTTTCAAATTTTTAAAAGTTACTTTAATCCTTAATCCTTAATCCTTAATATTCTTCCCTTGACTAATCTCTCTCACCAACTCGACCTTCTCACCATCTCAATCTTCCCACCATCTCATTGTAAGTTGCTCGGGGAGTATGGGCACTCGATGGTCGAGGTCTGCTTCGAAGTTTAGAGCTGGTAGTTTACTTATTCTTCGTTTTATTTTCCATTTTTGAAAGTTCATTTTCAAAGGAATAAAAAGAAGCCTGGAGTCGCAAAAATGACAATTTCTATTGTAACAAAGGTCTGTGCTCATAGGTAATTGAAACTCCATACATTTATGTCATTAAATATTCAAATTGGAGAAGATGCTCTCAAATTTCTCTCTGGCTTCTACGGGTAACAAAACTAAGTCTCCCTTTTCCTGCAGTGTGTAGTCCCTCCTCGTCATTAATAACAATCACCTGGAAAAGTAAAATGAAATAGTTCCAATTACCTACGAGTACAAACTTTTGAAACACCCTGTCCTTTATATATAAAAATGTTCCACTCTTTAAATATGCTCTTGCTCTGACTCATGAGTCTTGATACAGAGGCTTCACAAGTGTTGACTCTGCTTCTATGGACGCCTTCTATCAAAGGCCAATTATTAATAATAGTAGAAGTTGCTCACCGTTCACTGTGTGCGGATTCTCATTCCTTTGTAGAGCATTAAGGAGCATCAAGAGAAGCTGATTGCTGTCCAAAACTCCAGGCGTAAGATCTTCTTGATGGCCTTCCCTCTTGGAGATGCGGATGACGGCCTGTCCGTTCTCGACGCAATTCACCAGAATGTAATTATCCCCGATCATCACGGAATCCTCCTCTCTTTTGGTCTGAGGATTATTTTTGCCCTCCCTTCCCGAGGGACTCTTGGTGCTAGGCTGGCGGTCGCGACCCCCAAATCGCATATTCTTGCCGCCGTGGCTGCGGTTGGAGCCATTGCCGTGGCAGGACGCGACTGGGTCGTGGCCGGAACTGCTCGCCTCGCGGCGATAGTCTCCAGAAGAACTCAGGATCCGATCCTGTGTATATATTAGCACATATATTCACATTCACATGATACATGTATTCAGGTTCACTCACGTCCAGTTAAGATAAAATTAACGATGAAAAATCCATAAAACAACATTTTGAAAGCAGCAACTCCAAAATGAAACTAGCGAAATTCAAATACGAGAATATGAGTGACTTAACGTTAAAAAAAAAAGAGTTTACGTTCATTCAGTCCTTCATTCACGGACTCATTCATCGGTCCATTCCGAAAAGTTGCACGATTCGTCCGTACATTTCATTTCCGGGAGGTCCTGTTCCTTTCCACCGCATAACTATTCTTCGTCACCTGTGCAAAGCCATTTTGATCCCTCTAGATCTCCTTTCCAATTTGGGGAATGAGGCCGCAAGACTCTCGAGGGATTCCTATGGAGTGTACCATTTGCTTCATCCCTTCTTGGCTAGAGCGACATCAACAGGCCCTTCGGGACGTCGCATCGTATTCAATGAAGATGAGGACTTTCTGCAGGTGAAAGACATCGTCTTCAGGCTTCACAGGAAGAGTGACTGAAGCTTTCATAGATAGAGGAAATAAGGCGCTAAATTCGATACGAAGCGAAAGGAAACCTTGAGAGGCTCGAAGCCGATTTGATTTGAAAGGATTTCCTGGGCTTCTTTCTTGGATTTCCATCACTTCCCTTCAATGTCAATGTTAATATACCGGATATAGACGTTTAGAGGGGCATCGGAAGGCATGCCCATCGCATGAAAACGAAGCGCATCAATAGATGTAGCATGCGTATACAAATGCGACTTTTTGCTTACGGTACGAACAGTGGAAGATTCGTGGGAGAATCGCCTGGCGTTGCAGCGTCGGAGGCGAGACTCATCGGAGGACGAGGGTGGGAAGTCCTCCTTTCCGTCCTCTGTCATGTTCGCGCTCAGGATCTTGATGAGCCTCCGCCTGAGGTTGAAGCGGAACGCCGGGTGGGAGATCCCGTACACGATGGGGTTGTAGACGACGGACGCCTTGGCGAAGACGACAGGAGCGGCCGAGACCCAGGGGGTGATCAGCTCGATGTCCCCGAAGATGGCGATGAAGCTGACGATCGTGTACGGGGTCCAGGAGACCAGGAATAAGACGATGAGGGTGAAGATGATCTTGGCCACCCAGAACTCGGTGCGTTTTTGCGCTTCCCCCTGTTTGGGTTCGCCCTCAGTCTCCATCGCCTCTGCTGTCTCCTTTCTATCGGATAAGGAAATCCTGTTACAATCATGTGCGAGATACGTATTGCACTGTTAAACGTCCTTTTTTTGTCAAAAAATATATATGACATGAGTAAGGGTTTCATATTCTTGAAATAAAATCCGATTAATCCAAGGGTTACAGTTCATACCGAAAAAGTCTACAAAACATAATTCAATTAGAATGCCTCTGAGACTTTCGGTGATTCGTTGCGAAATTGAACGTTTTGAAGTCACCTCTTGTGACTTCAAAACAAGTTCACAACGTGAACAAGTCTTGTAGTGAACAATAATAATCTTTCAGCTCTGAGGGAGACAGTGAGAGCTGTCAGGAGAGACAGGGGAGACAGGGACACTTTTAAGCAAAAATGTTTATTCCTCCGTATTCGATCCCAGAGATAAGTACTAGACAAACTATTCTTCATAAAGAGACTAAGAATATTTGTTGCCAAATTCGACTTCACAAGTTATTTTACCTCAACCGATGAGCATCTCATTTATCCGTATTTTAATTATACAAATGAAAGGCTCACCTTCACGTCAAATGTCATTAAAGTTTCCTCCCACCTTCGGAGAAAACTTTGAAGAAAATAGGGTGGGCGATAAGAGGCGTGAGAAGAAAGGGGAAAAAGTGATTTCGTGTTACCGGGAAACGGTAAAGAGCGGAGATGGAGGCGTATTAATTTGCGTCCTTTAATTTCTATCAGATTACACAGGCATTAATTCCAACTAGAAATGACTGAATGTACCCACTTGGACATTTAGCTGATTTAATTCCTAAGAAACATCACATAACCTATCCCCACGCAGAGGAACTTAATTCTGATGTCGCGGGGACCTGCTTAGGTTATAATTATTGCTTTCCAGCAATTCTTGTCGGGCGTGTGAAACACATTTTTACGAGATCATGGAATAGATGCAAAAAAAGACTCATTTTTGACTATAATTGAGTATTTTCCCATTATTCAATTTTATGGGAAAACTAGATGCTTTCCATAGAAAAATTTCCGAATGACTTCTGAATGTCGACGTGCGAGGTTTCTTCAATTATTTCTTTTTATGTACTAGTATATGCACTAGCAATAAGTCTTACCATCGAGCTTTTATTTTCTTTTGATTAGAACGGTAAATTTGATTTCCTGTTCTGTTACGGATAGGCTTATGGTGAGCCTCAAGACAACAATTTTCCTCCCTAAGGAGAAAGAGACACCGATAATAGCATTCGAGGAAGCGCCCTGGGCTCTGGAACTAGACTCTAATTGGACTACCTTCGCGAAGTGCGAGATCGATCCTCGCAAATGAAGCGGGGGAAACTACGCATGAAATGGGGTCAGCGTCCATTATTCAAACGCTGGGTTTACAAGATTCGCAAAAATGTTGCTGAAGCGGAAGCATCGAGACTCTACTTTTATTTCCATGATAGGGCTGTAACGTAACGTAACAGGTAGTTGCATGAAATTTTGAAATAATTTCACGAAATGAAATAGAAAACTTATACTTCAATATCCAAGAAACTGACTTTTTTCAAGTTACGAAATATTTTTTTTTTACCTCAAAAACAATTAAAAGCCACATGCCTCCGGACCTAAATTATTCCGAAAGAAGCAGAAAAGTCAAAATGTTGCTACCAGAGCCATTCTAGGAACAAGGAGCGCCGCTTTAGACGCAATTAATCGACGGGAAACTTCCACACTTGGCCCACCAGGAGCTTGATCTTATTTATTCCTGAGGGAGGATGGGGATTGCAGCGCGAGTTTTTGAACTGAATTATTGAAGTGAGTTTTAAGGAACTTCCTAGATCTGAAACGGAGATTTTTTTTTTGCTTTCCAGGCTTTCATTACCTGAAAAACAAAAGAGTTTAATTTTGCTGCTTCCTGGAAGGCCCTACGTGTTTATGGGCGTCTATGTGTGTGTGTGTGTGTGTGTGTGAGAAGCGCTTTGTGCAATGGTGCTTCTTCCAATTTTGCAAACTTCTTAGCAGAATCCGAATGGGAGGGAAGACCTAGCACCTTATTTCTTAGGAAAGCGGCAAAAAATGTCATTTATTCTCTCGGCCCCTCTTGTCTGCTCGAGTATCATTTGCCGCTTCGTCAAGAAATGAAAAACACTGCTCTCTATTCTGCCAAATGGAGCTAGCCTTTGACGTCTTCATTCATTTTTAATGAATGAGAACTTCTTGCACATCTTCATTCATACTTAATGAGGTAACTTCCACTGAGGAGAAGCACTCGGGAAGTGCTTCAAACTTCTTTCCAGAATAACATTAGGCCTTTTGCTCTTTCTCTGAGCCCTTTTATGACACCATCAGTCTTGGTCTATTTAAATATTTATTATAAGTGCTTGCTCTTGAATGCATTTGGAACATATCAATTATGCGGAAAGCTCTGGAGAAGAATTAAATAATCACTCCTCCATTATTGATGCCATAGAAACAAACAATACGTTTTGAATTATTAAAAAAGCTTTTATGGAGGGAATGGGAATTAAGAGAAGAAATTAATGGATGGAGAATTTTCATCTGGCCTTAGACGCATTCGAGCTATTCATATGACTGGGATGATTGTAACGTGCATAGGGCAACATTCACACGCACTTTTCAAATTTCACAAAGAATGTTATTTCGGAAGATCTTTGTTGGTCACAATCTTATTCTTGCTAAACCTTTCCGAAAGAAAGCTGAGAAAGAGAAAGAAAGAAAGAAATGCTGAGAGAAAGCATGTCCATGCTGAACTTCGAGACTTCATGGCATGATTCATGCCATTAGAGGTAGTATATGAGAAATCCTCTCCTTCGTTATAAACCGTCTTTAGAGTAGTGGTGTTGACTTTTGAAAGACTCGATGTTCAATATATGTGCGAACAATTTTGTGTTCTCAAGAAATTTACTGATTGAATCTTTAAATTCTCTCATTTCATAATATCATTTTCGTTTGCCAATAAAACGGGCGAGCGACTGACTTGACTTGTCGGAACATTCGGAGTATGGAGAGGTAAGACACGAAGATGATGGAGATGGGAACGACGAATCCGAAGAAGAGGAGAAAGATATAATACGCCCGGTTAATCAGGGTCCGGGTGTAGAAATCCCAGGTGCAGGACGTGAGGAACGCCTCGGGGACGTAGTCGCTCCATCCCAAGTATGGGGGAATCACCAGGGCCAGGCTGTAGAACCAGATCCCGAAGCACACCTGAAGAAATTACCAGTGTCACCATACGTATTTACTTTTGCTTTTCTTCATTTTCTTTTTGAAAAGTGGGCACGTGCCCCTCTTTCTTCCCCTTCCCTCAACGCAACGTCATTCTATTGAGTTCCCCTAGTTTAAGTATACATCGAATGGCAAATAATGAACTCAGGCATTGAATCCATATACGAGGGGTGATTGAAAAGTTCTCGGCCTAAGGCACTTCCAGTTACAGTACACCATTTTTACTTTCCTTATGAGAAGACTGCTGTCTTCGATGGTGATTGGCAAATTTTCATCTCCAAGGAATCAATCTTTCAGCAGATCTCTCAGTAGAAGAGAGGATGAAGTCCTAGTGACCCTTCTCTGCCTGATCAGCTAGAAGAAAAGACTCCTTAGAGATGAGAAAAGTCATTGTGGCATTCTTCTCAATTTTAATACCTATTCAGCAAACCCTTTGGTAGCACATTGAAAAAAATTAATGGAAGCTATAGTTAATAGACAAATGAGATGAAAACTTGCCGATCAAAGACAACAGTCTTCTCATAAGGAAAGTAAGAATGGTGTGCTGTAACTGGAAGTGCCTCAGGCCGAGAACTTTTCAATCACCCCTCGTATATATCCTCCGTAGCGAAATCAGTTTCCTCTGAACCTTCGCCGATGCATGGGTGGATATGTTTCCCAGCTACAATCGACAACTTTTTTATTTATAAAATGAATAGATGAATAGTTATGCATGATCGATTATGATGCCTTCATACCAGTTAAGTTGCCAAGTTATAGGTTCAGAATAATAGTATGAAAATGAGATTGGCAAATCCATCTAAAGACCTCATCTAAGCCCTTTAGTCACGTGATGGGACAGTTATTGCAGCAGTCACCAAATTCGTTCCTCTCAGTCACTAACAAGTTAATAATTCATACCATAATTGGAGTGTCACTAGGGTTCCCGATTCTCCGTCGTTCTGCTGTTACCAACGAATATGAAAATTTCACCTCGCTCCATCCAATAACCGTCTCACGCATGGGAATCCTTCCTTTTTCATTTTTATTGCAGTCTTTGAATCCTATACGGCCTCTATGAATCACTTTCATTGGCAGTCCTCCAGAACGGAACGCAATGCTCTAAATGGAATCCTATCAGTGCTGCATGCGGTGGAGGATTAACCTCGAGTACCTCAAGTGCCTCATACTCCAGTAACGTTGTTTATGTACCTTATTCTGCACTGAATCTCTCGGTTATCTCTGAATTCGCCCTATGGAGACTAGTTGCTATCATCGCTCATCCGAAGCATTTACTTTTATGAAGCTTCATGAGTTAAATTTTCTACTTTCGTGTATTTTGCTAATTTATTTCATATTTATCTAATTCGTTTCGCCTCGCTCTAAAGCATTCACTCAAGTAAACGGGACTGGAAGGTCGAACGCTCTTGATTCCAAATCTCACCGATGCGGATCTTTACTTAATCTTTAAAAAGGAAATAGTTGGCTTACGTTATTGCAGGTATATTTTCAGATCCATGTCTCAATTACTTCTTGATTGGCGAAAGGATCTCGCTCAGGAGGATGACGAAAACTGCTTATCTTTGAAAATTCCATGAAATAACTTGATTTGGCTTAAGGAATTTGGATTAAATTTTGAGTATCTTCTTGCTCTGGACCATTTCAAGGATATTTCCTTTAGTAAGAAAGGAGATATGCAAGGCTAAAAGCTGCAAGCGTTTTTTTTTTTTAATAGACAATGGTAAAATACATTCGATATTACTACAGGACTAAGTGACAGAGAAGTGAAAGAGTAACATTTCATTTAATAAAAGGGCCACTTTCTGCAAGCAGTAACGTTCCAGATCTGTGGCAAGTAATCGTAGCATGGAAAAGTAATGAATTACCGTGCCATCGTCTGCTGTTAGTGTTATTGTTCGTTACTTTCGAAATGGCGTTAGATCTTGCAGATCGGAAAATCATCGCAGAGGATTTCCCATGGGATGCTTATTATCTCTCTGAAATTTGCCACGAAGATGCAGCGCGAGATGTTAAACAGGCTCACGAAAGCTTTTAGAGCCTTTGACCCATTTGGGGGAAACAAGTCGAGACGAAAAGGGGATTGAAACTCGGAGAGCTCCCTCGGGCCTCAAGGCACGGGCAGATGACAGGTTTCGTTTGTCGCACTCGAGCTCAAACCCCGTCGCCCTTTGTGGGGTCTCTCGGGAATCTCGCTAAATGCTCGGAATCACTTCCTTTTTTAGCTTCTACAACTTTCCCACTTTAAAAATTTTTTTGTTGACCCCGCACTTGAGTGTAATTAACAAAGTAGCTGCTTTGTTAACGAATGTTACCGCCATTCAGTTTTTTCGGCCAATACACTGGCTTCCGACACTGGCTTCTGCGCAATCTACCTTCTTGGCGATTCGTGGCGTGAGTTTGGGGAATTTCGAGGAAGGCGGAGCGATGACGAGGCATCTCTCCACGGCGATGGCGGAAAGAGTCATGATGGACACCAGACCGAATAGCCCCACCATCCCGGCGTAAAATCTGCATCCTGAAAAAAAAAAATCGAAAAAGCAATAATCCTCAATTTTCCTTGAGCTGTGCTCTCCCTGACGCAATGAGAGACGGGCAAGCATCGTCTTCCGAAGGAACTGACAGAACCGCATGGCATCGCTGTCCGTTCTCATAATAGGCAATTAGTCGTAATGGGGAGAGGGAAGGGATGACGAACACCGAAAAAAACGAAGGGATCAATCAAGCCACGAAAGGAGAGATCTGATTTCCTTTTTTTTTTTTTAGAAAGGACTATAATGATGCATTTTTCTTTCTCGTAATACTTCTCGTTATTCCTAATACGGAATCAGAGCAGATTCTATAATGCAGGTCTACAGGGGGTTATGGGCTTTTGAGCATGAGGGTCGCTTGGACACGACCTGATCGTGTTGCCTTCATGGGGGGGGGGTGTCGCCCTCCCCCCTCTCCTCCTTTATTGGCCTGGTTCGTCATCTACATAATAATAGCTGACGTTTGCTCACCATCTGTCTGTCCGCTGGAGGCCTGCACGGATCGACTTTTCCGATCCCGACCCGATCGACTCGATGGCCCCGCTGGACCCGAACTCCTTTTAAGGACCCCGACCTGCGGGTCATGTCGCGGTGCCGACCGGGCCGGCCTCTTATGCCTCTAAATGTCAGAACTCCAAGTCTCTGGTCTTTTTCAATGCGGCTCTGCTGCCTCTGCTTGACGCTTGCAGCATACCATGACGTCACTTTTGTCATAGCCTGCTCAGAGCTAATTTATTTCACTATGCTGGCAGCTGCTAGCTCGAAAGTGACGTCATTTAATTGCGCGATTGTGTCGAGCTCTGACAGAAAGAGGTGTCTTTTGCCAGTAAGCGACTGGAGAGAGAAGATGCCACCTCAGATTCCAGGCGTTCTAAATTCAAACATGTCTCGGGTTCCCTAATGACGGGACGCATCCTCTATTATCGACGGCGTGACAGTTAGAAGTTCGAACGTCATCATTGAAATATCTGAGACAGAACTCCGGAAATAATTGTAGGCGGATATTGGGGGTCTCTGAGGATGGGAAGCATCTTCTCTTCTTCGTGTGATATCCAAGAGTTCCAAATTCGTACGATGTGTCTTACTTGAATATAATTATGAAACGAGACCCCCTGAAATTTGATATATCTGGAAATTGGGAAATTTGGGGGAGGAGGGAATCACGGGATGCACCCAATATTTCTGACCCTAAATATGGCTGTTAAAAATTCCAGCTGCGTCATTTGAATGGACAGAAGACGATTAACTTCTTTCAGAAGACGTGAATGTTACACGGGTAGCAGCAAGACTATGTAATAAAATCGCTGACGTTTACCAAATCGAGCCGATTCGAACCGCGGCCCACATATTACCCGATCGCCGACAGAGCTTTGTGGGTCCGAACTGCGGCCCGAGGCCCGCTTAGGTCGCTATGCGCAAGACCTCGGGATCTTTCATTGCTATTCGCCCTGACGGGAAACTTGATTCCCAACGGATCTGCATGCCCGATCGGGTCGGTCCGATCGAGCCATGCTACGACAAGGAACTTACTGAAAATTTGCGTGCAGGCTGTCGGGAATTCCTCGATGCCGGAATGCATCCCTATTATCGATCCAAAGCTTGGCTACTTGAAATTCGATTGTTGTGGCTCCTGCTTGCTATGAGGCAGAACTTAAATAAAATCGTTTCAAAGGGGAATTTGGGGACTTAGTTGACTGGAAGCATCCTACATTATCCATCTGATATCTAATGGTTCTAAATGCATACGGTGTCTCTCATTTGAATATTATCATTGAACGGAACACACTGAAATTTGGCAAATATTGAAATTGGGAAATTGGGAGAGGAGGGGGGGATGACGTGACGCATCCAAAATGATTTATTCGGAACAACGCCGTTCAAATTTACAGAGGTGTTTCTCATTTGAATGCCATGGGACGGAAGGAACAAAATCTCGATCAGAAAAACGTGTATCAGCTAGTTTATTTTTAAATGTTTACAACTTTTAATGTAATTTTTAAATGATTTGAATCACTTTTGATTTGAGTCGGGGAAATGGATGTCAAGGTTTTACCGCGGATGATAAATATTTATATATGTAAAGAAGAAAGTCTGTCTGTCTGTCTGCCAGTTCCTTTATGCATTCAGACCCCTTGGAGCCAGTGCAACCAAACTTTGCATGACTCTTTCATCCAGGGGAAGGTCGAGGGCAATGTTTCCATCCAAAATTTTCATACCTGGGGCACTTTTCCGGGAGACTGTAGCGTCTGGGAAGGCATCGCCATCTACGTTTCAATGCAAGTCATTCATGAACGGATCGATAGGTGAAGCAGTTGTAAACTGGTTGAACGCGATGATTTAATTCGCGCGTCTCAATTGAATCGTCCTTGTTTTAAGAGGTCGAGAGAAAAAAATACTACGGCATAAGTTTCTTGACTGAAGAAAGTCAATGAAGAATCAGGTCCAACCTACCTATATTCCCAAATTGCCATCCGTGCTTGAAGGAGGAGTAGGAGGCCATGGAATGCATGAGGGAGTTCCCCAGGTCCGCCGCCGCCAGGTTCAGCACGAACACCGTCGCCGTCTTCCGCAGACACCGATGCCTGCAGGATGCACAAGTGAAGTTCATTCGGCCGCCCCTTCCTCAAGCTATAAGTTAATGTACTAATGTGAATACCAAGTTTCAATGCCTTTCCCATTCTTCAAATCCCCCCGCCTCTCTACGGGACTCACCAACGTTAGGCCTAGGCCAAACCAACAGAATGACTTCAAGTCACGCTAAGGCTTACCTTTTTCTTTTCAAAAGAAACTCAGTTCTCGACTTACGGCGCCAATTAAGCTCATGAGGGTGGATCGCAGTCTTCGAGGCATCTGGCTCAGGACGTGTACCGTTAGGCTAATCGCAGGTCTATTAATACCTTCACGAACCATTTCAGAGAGGACGTGTCACATTAGGCCGATTGGATGCCTGTTTCGCGTTTCACGAACCATTATAGTGGTACGTGGAACATTATGCCTATCTAGAGTTCCTCGAACCATCTCGAATAGGTCTGAGGAGAAAATGCCTTCTAGCATGCAATTCATGATACGCGCCATCCTGTTAATTCAGAGATGTCCGGATGAGATATCTGCATATCTCACCACATCGATCAATAACTGCTAACCACCGCTTCATTCTCAGCTCAACTCATGAACTCAGCACAAAAAGGTCTCATTCATTAAAAAACAGAAGATCCAGATGCCAATACGAAGATTGAAACAGTCTAGAATCTGGCATAATTTCGGCTCGGTGTCCGGCAACATTGCGGGACGGTACCGGAGCAAGCGCTCTAAGCCTAATTGAACGACAGCTAATTTCATTTTTTTATGGCGAAATGGAGCATCGCAAACAACAAAAAGCCGCTTTTCGTCATCTACGAGTCAATATCTTTCTTATGGTTGGTATCTTTCCTCCGAAAATGAAAAGGAATGGCTACCCACGGGGGGGGGGGGGGGAATGAAATCCACATCCTCCAAAAGGTGATTCTGTATTCCACATCCCAGGGAAGATGGAGCTTCAAATTTGCTGGAACGATTCTATGGCGAGAGAGGAAGAAGAATGCCAAATTTCGTTTCTGTTGATGCTCTCAGAGAGGAATACGAGGAGGCTGAATTTTGCTGCGTGAAGGGGTTGAAGAAGGGTAATAGGCGCGGTTTGGGGTGAAACTATTCATTGAAGTCCATGTATGCAGGAAATAAGTTACACTCCATGGTTTATCACTGGCACTTTCTACTCGATAAGAGTCTTCGCCTGGTGCGAGTACCATTCAATAAGGAATTTCTTTCCATTTATTTCCAATGTAATAAAAACGCAAGGCCTCTATGCACTTAATTCTCCCCAGAGAGCAATCTGCGGGCAAGGGTCTGTGAAGTGCACTCAACTTTACTCCATTGGGATCATTCAAGTGTTTTCTCTGTACCACATTTTTCTTCGGTTCAGGATCAAAAGGAGTTTTTTTGTTTGAATGGAGGCTCTGAGAAAATATTGTAACGGCCCAGTCGGCACAGCACAAGGAGAGTGGCCAGCCCGGAAGGATGTCCTGTATGAGGGAAGAGCTCTCTGTGAGCCGCCCTATGGAAGTCGTGGTACGTGCATATCCACCTAGGTGTCACGCCTGACCTCTGACCCTTGACCCCAGTCGAGAGATCCTCATTATTAACTCTCTGAATGTAGTTTTTTAGAAAGAAATTAGTTCTTAACCACCTCTGTCTCCATTTCGTACTGATGACCAGAAGCTAGAGTTAATGTCATGTTTACCTTTTAAACCAGTACTTTCGCTTCTACTTGTCAGGAAATGAAGGCCAGTGCCAGATCGAACACACCTGGGGAGTGAGTTCTCCCCCTTCTTATTTCTACCATAGGGTAGAATAAGAGGCGACGCTCCGCTCGAATCCCATTCATTGACAGGGTCGCAGATTAGATGTCGCTGTCGATCCTCCACCTAGCGAGTGCACATGGACAACTCCTTCATGGCCGAGCAGCGAACTCAACGGGGACACGCGTGTTAATTTGAGTGATCCTTTTGGGTCGACCGAACGAGTCGATTCCCGATTCCGCTGCCACGAAGCACGCATTATGGAAGTGATGCTGATAACAAGACATCATATGTCTCTGCAGCATTTCGCACCCCCGCCCTCTTCCCCTTGCGGTGTCGCCTCTAATTAGACTCTCTACTAGACCACACCCGCGTCCCGCGGGATCCGCTTCGCTGGTAACAACGTTTCAACAGACATCAATAACTCAGGTCTAATTTGTAATTAGCAGTAAGAGAAAATGAATTATTAAAGCAATAACGTCTGAATTTCAAAGTGCCACACTTTCCATGAATAATAGGGGATGCCTAACGTCATCAGGGAACCCTCAACTGGATGCATGCAAATTCTCAGATACACCCGCCTTGTAGCATTCAAGTAAGTTGAAGTTTCGAACATCCAGGTATTGGATAAAAGGGATGATTCCGAGCAAGGCACGGGATGCGGATGAACTCTATTGAATCGATCTGAAACGCGGATTTAGCGGGCAGCTCGGTTTGCAATCAAGTTCCTTGTTTGGTGCAGGCGAATACACTACCAGAGAGTCTTTTTCTCCATCCGCTTCCAGCGGCTGGCGGAACGTAGTGACCTGTGGTGGAGTAGACTATCCCCGGAATGTTGTAAGATATATATCACATGAAAATACTGTAAGAATATGTTATAGATATACCTATATATGTTTCAACCGAGAGAGTTGAGGTATGAGTGGGTTATATAATGTGCTTATGTAAAGGTTATGTTTTACTTGGGCATTCATAACAGGGATGTTCGGCGCCCCTCCTGGGCCATTGCGTCTGGTAGCTATGCTATGTCCTTCCCAGGCTTGGTCATTGTACTCGAATCAGGTTTTATTACGGCCTTCTGGTCAAGTCTTCGTTGTCCTGGTGAGGCCCTTCATCGCGCTGGCATGGTTAGTAGACCTCAATTTTTTTCCTCTAGTTCGGTCAAAGGCCAAAGAATGAGAAAGTCTGTCTGTTTTGGGAACCAATGGGTCAGTTGGGTTAGGAAAAGGTCGCGGTCTTTGACCACGATTATTTTTTAATCCAACTGCTCCATCACCACCCAAATTAGGTTGACTTTCTGCCTCGTTCGATCAAACATAGAAGGAATGCGGATCGCTTGGTGTGCCTTCTTCCTGTTCTCTCTGAGTTTAGTTAGTTCGGGTATATGGCAAAAACGCAAAATCACTGCGTAAAAAAATTTGAGGGTTGAGTTTTTCTTTGGGGCACATGTCATGAGGATCGAAGGTAGGGGAGGGTGCCGGGACTGGACGAAAAGATATACCGGGACGAATGGGACTTGAATCCAAGCCTCCCGTTTCGTGGTCTGGTGCGCTCCCATTGCACCACAGAGCCGAACATGAAATTATTCTGCCTATCACCGCACCTAAGGGTTCCTGTTCCAACGAAAACCGGCAGTCTCGCCCTCCGTTCAACGTGACTACACATTAAAATTACTACTTCCTTTCTCGTCTTTCGCAGCTAAAATACACACCAACGCAATCGGCTCATCAAGAGCTTGCAATTGATGCATTACAGGCACCATTCGACGGGTCGGAAGTCTTTCCCTAATGGATAATTGTTAATTAGCAGCATGAAAAAATGCAATTAGCAATCAGATGTAAAGCGCATCGTTAAAATCGAAGAGACTGCCTAGTCCGATCCAAGAGAGAGCACTAAAAAGGCAGCATCAAGGAAATAAAGTAATTAACTTTTTAATTAATTAATCAATTAGCACATATTTTTCGTGCAAGGATGACAATCAATATGAGACCACTCTCACCATCACACGATTTCTCCTTCATGGTTAGGTGATTCGGTAAACTGCGTATTATATATGTGGATACTCTATGCTTCTACCCAGATTCCCCGCGATTGGACTTTCCGGACCTCCTGATCCGTCCCCCCCCCCGCGCATTAGATATTCTCGATCTTCTCCCTCCCGTATCGTTGAGCAATTGGGTTTGCAGTACTTCGGTTCCGATTCAGCTCACACACTCAGCTGATACAGTGTCTTACGGTAATCCCGTTTGTTTTCCCCTTCTGGTGAAATCCCGGCTGCTGCTATCCACAGGAGTGCGCCGTCGGCCCTGAATGCCTCCCAGACACGTCTTTGTGTCTTATCTGTTTCTATCCATTTCCGAATAAATCCTGACTTGCATTAACTTGGACCTATTCTGTTGTGATTCGCACCACCAGTAGTGAGAAAAACATGCGGAACCGTAACAACATTCATGTCCTACCAAAATGTCTCCACCCTAAAATAAATTCAGGCGAATTGCATGAAGTACTTCTGCTTTTTGATTGAGAAACTGAGAAAAAAAATGTGCAAGCAGATTCTTTCAGAGCAATCTTTCACAAGAAGCAACCTGGATGGTTCAAGAGTTTGACAATACACGATGAAACGCGACACGCGATCAAGTCATTGCAGTGCAGAAAACACGAAACCCGCGAAATCGATACCCAATCAACAGAAATTCCCCACAGAAATCGACTTCCTGTAATCCAAACTTCCCATCATGTATCTTACAAGAAGTGCCAATAGATCCCCCCAATCCCCAGACCGTCGATGGAGGCCAAATGAGTCCTGTTTACGTCGGTGCCCGGCGGCTTCCCCCTGGGAGGAAGCGAGCATGAGTGTTGACTTTAGGAAAGGAAAATAATGTTAAGTCATTCTTTTGTGTAATTAACCGCCGTGGGGGAATGGAATGAACAAGACGTAACGAATGGCACTAAAATATTAAGGAACCAGGAAATCAGGAGTAGGAGCTGTGACTCTGGGGATTCCTTCTACTCCAGGACAAATGAAAACGATTTAAATATAAAAACATTTGCCCCCTCCCCCTTCTCTGCGGGTTCACGAACGTTTGGCCTAGGCTTAACCGATGGACTGTCTTCAGGTCAGGCTTAGGCCTACCTTTTCTCGCACAAAAGAGATTCAATGCTCGAGTTACGTGGACAATTAAGCCTATAATGATCAATCCATGACATTCGAGACATCTCATCAGACGTACAAAGATAGACTGATCGCAGGACTATTCAGACTTTCACGAACCAT